ATATATCTGTAAAAATAAATTTCATGATAAACCTGAAAAGATATAGTCCATTATGGGATTTAGTTGGTATCACATTATTGGGAAGTCAATAATTTAAGACAATAGCTAGTGTTCTGTTTGCGTAGGATATTAAATAGATGTTTTGTAGACGACGATACATGAATTGTACACCCCAAGGAGTTGACATTCTGTAAATTACTGCATGATTAATTATGTGTCCAATGACAAAAATAATATCGTTAAAATCTGATATCCATTATAAAAATAATTTTCAATATCTAAATTATCTCATTACACTAAAATAAAGTGTGCTGAGCCAAAAAAAAAAAATTTACGGATTATTAGGTCTAAACGTACAGTAGAAGGATGAGAAATTTCTATTTACTTTAAGTACCAAGTACTGTACAAAAGTTGGTAGAGCAGGATTCTTAGGTGCTGTTTAGGTGAAACTAAACTTAAGCATCAAAGTACACTGAGATAAATATAAAGAGTAAAGGCAAAAATATTTCTAAATTACAGTAACCAGTAACTATGGAGGAATTTAGTTTAGTCTGAACTACCAATTCCTCCTTGCCATAACTAAAAGCTCAAATAAGCTTTGTGTTGCTTACACATTATACTTTAGTGCGGCACTTATTCAAGAGAGTCACTTATATAAATTATTTTGTGTAAAAAATATCTTTTGTTCACCATGTTATGACTTTTAGCATTCATTGCACAAGAATACTTGACTTAAGTGTGCAAAAATCCTTCTACACAAAATGAACATTCTGAATGTTCTTCCTGTTATTGGCTGCACAACTATGTCATCATTTGTAAAGTCACCTTATCTGCATACATATGATTTAATATCGATATCTCGACTACAACGAATATGCAATCAGAAGAACACATACGTATTAATCACATTAAAGAAGAAGGTAAAGACTTGCGTGGAAATCAAATTGCGAGATTTATAGATTCTTGATAATGCTTTTAACTACGTCAATTTGTTTACCTCAGAGCTGTGTACTGCATATACAATTCTGGTCGACATATTGAACAAGACAGATCAATAGGACTCTACTAAACATTTATCAACTTCTTAAGCCATAGCTTAAAAATAACCACACACAACCTCAAGATAACTTTGGAAGGATGTTAAAGGTTGAGAGTGCTTTCATAATGAACATCAACAAAAATTTAAAATCAAACAATTAAATAAATTAAAATATAAATACATAAATTAAATGAATAAAAACAAATAATAAAATATATACATACAAAACAATTAATAATAAATATAAACAAGTACTTAAATAAAATTAGATGCATATTTATAAGCAACAAATAAATAATAAGTTAAATAAGTATATAATTTAAAGTAAATAAGAATAAAAATATATAACAAATCAATAAGTAAATAAAACTGGTTTGAAGGATACAGTTGAAACATTTCAATTTCTCCAACTCCATTCGTACCATTCTGAAAAAGAAACACACAACAGTATTATTTATAAAAATTAAAATTTTTATCTTAACTAAAACTTATAAAATACAGAAATTATGCTTGATGTAAACCAGGGGTGGGCATACAAATCGGTCGGAGGGCCAAAGTGAATTTCTGATTTAACACCGAGGGCCACACCCAAACTTTGATCTTTCCAGTGTGCTTCTCAAAACCTCCAAGCACTGCTTTTACGTCGCTTTATTTCCAGTTTTAATATTACTTTTTACATATGATTGGTGTCAGGCCGTAAAAAACAAGGTGTTTTTTAGCTAATGTTGCTTGGTGGGCCGCACACATAGGGTTTTTATTTCATATTCGTGGCGCAAAGAAATCGCTGTCATTTTAGTGTCAATAGATGACTTCACAAGGCATCTAGGATGTCTTGTTGTGGAGCAAGAAATCTTGCTGTCAGAACCCAGTAGCGGATATAATTGAAAAAAATATTAAATGATTACAGTAGAAATTGATTTTCACAGACTGATTTTCAAACATTATGATACTCCGAAAGTAGATCCAGAGGGGATGAGGGTTAGCGACATCCGGACCTTTCCCCTAAGAATAGATGTTTATGAAGAGTGCTTATGAAGAGAAAAATTGGTAAATAGACAGCAGCTGTTTCTTTTTTCTTTCAAGATTCAACATTCAAGATAATTTTACCTTGAATCTTGGTTGGGGTTCACTTTATCAGAAGAATTTTTAAGCTAATCTAATATTATTTTTGACATTTAAGTTATACAAGAAGATATAGATATAATGAGCCTTTTAGCTCTTTCTGCAGCAACATTATATTCCAGTTGCATGTAAGCCAATGTAGTCTATAGTCATCACGGTGGTGTTCCAGAGAGCTCTGGTTCAGTACTATTAGGCCTTTACCAGCGAACAGGTAAATACAATGTTTGAATAAAGGACATGATAATACATTGTGTAGCATAGCTCAGCTTTAATGGCTATCTGGAATATTAATTGGTGATCCGCTTCTCGAGCAGATCACCTCTTGTTATTGTCAGAATCTTCTTCTTATTCTTCTTTCTTTCTCCCCTTTTTTTGTTTTGCACGATACCTCAAAAAATGCCACGAGTTACAGACAATCGCACAAACATTGGCTTGGTCAGGCGTCATCTACACTCAATTTTGCGTTTTTACATTATCGATCATATCAGCCTAACCAATTGCCATTTCGAAATCTTATTAAGTGAGCATAAACTTCAGGTCCATGTTGAACGTAATGTACCCTAATTTTCCGCGTGCGCGAGCATTGTGAAGCGCATGTGTGCGTCAACATTTCGAAATGCTCGAAATCATTTTTTGACTAAATTAGAGCACGTTTCAGTCCATTTTGAGCATTCCATTTTTTGTAATTTTCCACTACGCGCGCGCACTTTTACTTGCACAGCACGTATGGAAGCTAGAAATTAGGTTCTTTTACATATTTTGGGTTCCTGAAATTGTTTACACAAATTACCATTGTTTTCGGTCATCTTATGGCCAATAGCAATGTCGTACGTGCGCATCAAACATAAGGATCTTTGCGGGGATTTGTGCCTATATACAGTGAAAATATGCTAAAATCAGGCCTGATTTTAAACAGTTACAGCTATTTAGGATGAAAGGACCCCCAATTTTTATTACATATTCTGAAAGCACATGAGTTGTAAATATGATTTTCTAGCTCATAATGGCCGATTGGACATTGTGACGTCATCATATTGCCATCTGAATTCAACAACCAGAATTTTATCAATGACGTCATTTTTTAAAATGCGCATTTAAGAGTATCTCGCTTATTCTTAGTCGATGGTCTTCCAACTTTGAGTATGTTATAGCTGAGACAATTTTCTTTCGTTACGTGACTTCTTTTTACTTTTTGACTATGTCATCATGGTCAAAAAAATGTTTTTTTCTGACCCCCCTCATCTTTCTTTCCTCAAACATTTAATGACCCATAATCACTTTAACCAGTTGTGATTTCTGAATGATATTTAGTGGGCATAAAATTCAGGTCATGGTTAAATGTTATGCACCTTAATTTCCTGTGCGTGCGTCATAACGCGCGCGTACGTCAAAATTAAAATGTGCTTAATATCATGCCATTTTTCAATCAGTTATAGCTCCTTAGGATGAAAGGTGACCCCCAATTTTTATTACATATTCTAAAAGCACATGAGTTGTAGACATGATTTTATATATCATAATAGCTGATCGGACATTGTGACATCACCATATTGCCATCTGAAGTCAAAAAACTGAATTTTTATATATGATAAATACTATGAATGATCATTACTCCTTCACCAACAGGCGTTTGTCAATGAAAGTTGATACATATATATCTCATATCAGGAGACAACAGTGACATTAAGATGCGCATGTGCGTCATGATGTGCGCGTACGCATAAGTAAATCTTTAAAATGCTTCAAATTCTTTTTTAACAAACTAAATTAGCATATTTTGCCATTATCGGCATTTAAATATTGTTCAATCCGCACCGCGCACACTTCCTCGTGGGTCAAAGTGCGGCGGATCACCTAACTTGCAGTGACGAGTTCAAATCTAGTTGTTATTGTTATTGTTATTTTTATTAATATATATTTTATATATACATATATATACATATATATATATATATGATATTGAAGGGAGTTAGCCGTTAACACTGTTGAATAAATATAATATAAATCGTCAAAGGTACATATACAGTGTTTAAATAAGGACATGATGGAACATCGTAGGCTACTTGTAGCTTTTCAACGAATAAAGTCCTATAAAAGGACTATTATAGTCCTATAAAGGTCCTATTATAGGACTTTATTCGTGGAAAAACCTACAGGGTAGCCTACGATGTTCCATCATGTCGCCATTACGTGAAGACAATGCAGTATTGGATTTATATTGCCTTCTTAACAACCCACATTTATTAACTGTTCATAAAAGGAATCTTGATGTATTTTAGTTCATTAGATTTTAGAAATTAAGAAATGGATTACTTTAGAGCATGAGCGTTTGATAGATGTGTATAAGAGACAGTATCAGGACGATAATCAATTTATCACAAGATGTAGTGAAGAATTGGATGCTTACAACTCATTGCCAGATAACACTAAAAGGTCTTGCCAACCCTAGGAGTGATGCATCATTATTCAAACGGCATTAGGAAGAAGAAATGGGGGCGCTATTAAACTCTAGAACACTAGATTTAAATATTATCTGTGTCAGTCACTGAAATTGGCTGGCTGTCAATTTATTAATTTAAAGCTTCAAAGCTTTGTCTCTGTCTCTTATACACATCTAGATGTGTATAAGAGACAGATATAAGTCTATATCCATACCATTGTATACTACAGCATGCCAAAAAAGTCAAGAAAAATCTAGATTATTCTGCCCGCGTCCACCACCCGCAGTCTGCCCGTGGGCAGCGCATCCGACAAAGAGCACTGCCTGTGGTTGGTACTCTAGGAAGTTCTTCTTTCGTTAAAATGCAAACTTCATTGAATTGAAGACTGGAGCACTTGGTGGAAATTGATGCAAGTGGGCAGAATTTTAATTTAGTATTCCCCTCTTGAAAATAGTAAGAGACTGTGCCTGGACAACAGATTCGTGAAGGACGTTCCATTCTCGTACAGTATGCAGGAAGAATGATAATTTGTGATAGTTTCCGGAGGAGTATGGAATGCAGTAAGCCTGGGAGTTTTGGGTCCTAGTTGGGGCACACTTACATTTGGAGGTCAGATACTTGTTGGCATAGATGGCTACCATGTTATGATGAATCTTGTACAGCATAGCAAGCTTAGTTGGTGCCTATCCTTCAGGGTGGGCTATGAAAGTTGTTGCAGCATGCAACGTTGCTAGTTATTCTGAAGTTGTTAAACATGAATCTGGTTGCTTATCAACCAAGTTTCTTTAGGACGCTTAGGCAGTGGATTTGTTGATTATGGTGACAGACAGGATTTCAACCCCACACCCTGGTACTGGAAAGCAATTATGTTAAACATCAAGCTAAAATATAGTAATAGGTATAGCATCTTTTTGAACCGAAAATTAACATAAAAAACTGGTAATGAATTTTACAGCTTGGTTGTGTAGCAATGATGATCAGCTATACAACTATTCGTGTGCTCATCAACACCTATCCAGTATCAGAGGATTATATTGATTACATGGCGATGATATTTAAGAAAAAATTATGTAATTATAATATGCTATTAATTGTGCCTGGAGACTAATACATTGGCAATATAATAGTTTTCAATGTACGTGTCAACCTTTATCAGGCTCCAGTGTTAGTTGCATTGCACTTGATGAATTTCCCTTCTTGTCTGTTGATGAAAATTAACTAGGCGAAGGAAAGAAGTTGCCGTTATCAGGACGATAATCAATTTATCACAAGATGTAGTGAAGAATTGGATGCTTACAACTCATTGCCAGATAACACTAAAAGGTCTTGCCAACCCTAGGAGTGATGCATCATTATTCAAACGGCATTAGGAAGAAGAAATGGGGGCGCTATTAAACTCTAGAACACTAGATTTAAATATTATCTGTGTCAGTCACTGAAATTGGCTGGCTGTCAATTTATTAATTTAAAGCTTCAAAGCTTTGTCTACACTGTCATGGTGTTCCTATATATGGTCATGATGTGATGTCATCATGACCATATTTAGGCATGTCACTGAAGTCATAAATTATATTTTTACAATGTAACATTCATCCTTCTAAAGCTTTTCAGAATACCAACATCCTGAATTTACCATCTTATGATTTAAACAAGAATGCTATATCGCATCTTGATAATGTTCAATTGATCTTTTAAATACTACTTTATCATTTTGGCAGAATGAGCAGCTGAGTGGCGTATATAAGCTGCACCCCCCAATCTACATTATAGGAGGGATAAATAATCCTAGTATTACCCCTGACTTCCACAAGAATATTTTCAAAGGAGTTTGTAATTTTAAGAATTAAATAGCAAACTCTTTCC